TTTATGCGTATCATCTGTGCCCTATTCTTATGGCACAGTTCTTTGTCGCGATCCGGATTGGTACAGCGGTGAGGGAATCAGAGTAGTAGTGGGAGACGACAGTAAGATGAGATCAGGGAAGTACGCCGGGGTAGTGGTGGGAGAATCGGGATATTGACGGGAATGGATAAGACGGCACACGTGGTGACTGCCACGTCAGCCTTGCAGCCAGGCTGAGGAGGGTCGGAGGGGAGGAAGAATGTGGAGGGATTGGGATCGGGATAGCAGTGAGGGAATCGGGGATCAGTATGTATGCGTGTGTGTGTGTGTATTTGTGACACATACACAGAGAGAAAGAGAGAGAGAGAGAGAGAGAGAGAGAGAGAGAGAGAGAGAGAGAGACTTCTTTCCCTTCTCTTCTCGGTCTCCGTTTGACAATACCCCAACACATGCAGAATCTTCTCTCACTGCTGAGCGTCGCTCAGCACAAGAAGCACGTTTGTTTTCACACCGTCAAAGACAACAACGATTCAGACGAGCTCATGTTGAAATGGTACAACCTCGGATAAATCATGCTCGTCTCTACACTTCAATTATGGGTCATATCATTCTGTCCAACTGTTGCAGAGTCTGCTGTTAACCATGACCTATGGCCCAGTTGCTGAGATTCCCCGTGCACATCAGCAGAATACTGTATATGGGCAGATCATGGTCGTGACACTTCCATCCCTCTCTTCACCCCCTCTTCTGCGCTGCAGCGTAGCTGCGGCGGATCCACTTGTTATAATAAAGCTGTTTTGCTTTCTACAGGCATGTGAATATCTGGTATCCGGGCGATCGACACCGAACTTGTTTGGAAGGTCGTGTGGATGGCTGCATCACACGCGACAGAGATAAAGTAGGAAAACCAGTGGTACCAAGTACTATTAATAAGTAGTAATAACTCATTTGACTAGTAACTCTGGTCCAAACCGTGGTGTGGTTAAGCTGTGACTTATGGAGTCTGTGGTAACAATAAAAATGGATTGGACTGATGAAGTTGGTCAACCTGTGGTTTAATCAAGGTAGGATTAAACTCCGGTTCGACTGTGATTTGAGTCATTTGACTGATCAAGGTATGAAAGCTGGTGGTAATGATGTCGAGAAGGATGCTGTTTTGGATGGAACTTGCAGGTTGTACTGAGCTGCAGCGAATGTCTACGTAGTTGGACTGAGAGGGTAGAGGGTGTCGCGAAGCTGTTGGAAGAGATACCAACCATTTGTCGACAATCATGGGGTTGGGATGTTCGACGATTGTTCAAATGAGAGTGTGATGTGGTGGCAAATTGATTGGTGTTGCAATGGATGTGCTGTGTTGAAGTGCAGGATAATGGTTATAAGTTGCTTTTCCTGAGTGCAAGGGCCATCAGTCAGGCAACTCTAACGCGCCAGTTCTTGATGAATCTCAAGCAGGTGTGAATCGACAACCTCGTCTCTTCTCCAGATCTTTGCCTAAGTTGCTATCTAGGGGGGAATAGCAAAGTTGCTCCCAAGGAACCAAGAAGATGCCCTGTTTGTCACTTTCTGTAGATGTGTCTGGATATAGAATCTGCTAGCTTCAGGATCGGTAAATGCAGTCAATCTATCTGCACACACTGGTTCCATTCTCTGGTTTCACAGTCTGGATGTGTCTGGACAGACGGTGCATGTGGTGCCCTCGTGGTGATCGGTATACACAATTGGCCTGCATCCGCACATATGTTGTTTGGAGAGGAGATAGAAGGCAGTTTCGAAAGACCCCCGTGGCATTTTGGGAATCACTGTCTTTTGTATCATTGCCCCAATGTGTCATCTCTTTGCTGGCTTCTTCCTAGTGCCCCGAAGCTCTGGTGCTTTGTGGGAGCGGGTATCCTTTTTCTTTTGTAGGTATCCTCGTATTAATGAACAGTGGAGGAGGAGAAGGAGAAGAATAAAATGGAAAGCTTTGTAAGAAACAGGGAAGAAGGTAAAAGATAAGAAAGAAAAAACACAGGGTAATGAGTCATGGTGATGATGATGATGATGATAATGGGCCTCATCGCAGCAGTCACCAGGTGTGCAAAATGAGAATGAATCTTCCGCAAGAACATGGAGAGATACACAGGCGTAATTTTTGTCGTTTGTGCATGTGGTCAACCATTTCCCTTTGCCTCTAACCCTTTTCCCTCCTCCCTGTATTTGAACGCCAATGTGGGAGAAGGAGATGAGCGAATGAACGAGTTGCTGAGTGAATGAGAGAAAAAAAAAAACAGAAGGAAGTGGAGGCCATATTTGACGAGGGCATACTGAACGTGGCCACATTTTTTTCCTACTATTTTGCAGGGGTTTTGCGCAGCATGTACGCATCTGAACTCCATTAAAGAAGAAGAAAAAGAAAAAAGAACAACAAGAAATGAACAGAGCGACCGGAAAGTGAAAGAAACCAACTGAGCAAATGGAGAAAGAAAGAAACGAACAGAACGAAGGGAATGTAGGAGGAACACAAAAGGAACAGACGGAAACATGAAGGAAAAAAAAAGGAAACAGACAGAGAAACATCGAAAGAAAAATAAAGGAAAAACTGAAGAAATAAAAGCTTCCTTCTGTATTATGATGATGGGTTGTAGTGATGGTGAGGAGGATGGCACTATGCCTCTTCCCAGTCCCCATGCGGTGCTAGTACTGGCTTTCATGATGCATCTTTTCTTTGCTTCGGTCATTCTTCGTTCTCCTCCTCCTGCCAAAGTAACAACTCGTCACAATGCTGCGAATGTTTGCAGTCGTGTAATTTGAGACAAGGGCTTTCATTGCACTAACTTGCTGCTTGAGATTGCACTGGCGTCATCCCACACCGTGGTGTAGTACACTGACTCTTTGTGTTTTGAAGTATGAAGTCCACATATGTTTGTAATGAAATGAGAAGATGCTCAATTTCGCCAATGAGAAAAGCTAGTCCGCCTCCCTCCTCCTACCGGGAAGAAAAGACGTTCTTCTCGCGGAGTTTTCTGATAGTGTAACGCTGTGCCAGGCCTTCCCACAGCATGGTGTAGCTGAAAGACTATTTTTCTGTGTCGACTCAAGTCTGTTTTGTGGTGACCGGAAAGGAACGGGATTTTGCCAATTATAAGGCTGTAGGTTGCATTCCCCTACCTAATGAATAGACACATTTGTTCTAACGGAGTCGTATTCGGTATACTTTTGCGAGTATGCAATATTTGCGCAGTAGTAGGTGTATGGGATACTATACTGTATATCCTGTGTAATGCACCTTCGCATGGGTGAGACGAGTACAGCTGGATTGTGTACTCGTTATTTTTTCCTGGAGTGCCTCCAGGAGGACTCGGTGTGGACACTTTTTCCTCTTCTTTTTAATCTGACTATACATCTGGATTCAAACTTGGGTCTGTATTTCAACAGTTCATGGGTTTACCAACTGAGCTAGGCCAGTCGGTGCCAGCCATTTTTCTTGATGCTGTGCGCGCTATGGTGTCCGTCAGCTCGACCACTCGTATTAGGCCTAGACTATGCCCTAGCTCTCCCCTGTGCCTGCTGGCCCCATTAATTAGGGGCGATGTCACTTACCTTGCTCCCCGATGCTAACGGTTGATTTGCCAAGATCAACCGTCAGAAATAGAGAGCCTGGGTGAGTGGGACGTCGTCCCGCGTGCTACCAAGAAATGATAGGGTCTATCTCAAAGACTCGAAGTGATCTGGTGATCTGGTCTCATAGGCAGTTAGCTAAGCTAGTGGGGCCTAGCATGCACGAAATGGGTACATCTGGTCTCATAGGTAGTTAGCGAAGCTAGTGGGGCCTAGCATGCCCAAAATGGGCACAACTTCACAAGGGGGCTGTACGCCATAGGTAAAATTGTGTCTCATGCCCCTGATCCTTCGTCTACCATTTTTCTTAATTCTGCACACCATGTTTGCCTTCAGCTTGACCGCTCGTTTTGCCTAGACTTTGTCTCGGCTCTCCCCTGCACCTGCCTGCTGGCAACCATCAGGGTCTATCTAAAACTGAGCTGATGTCTTGGACAATCTGCTGGCTTTTGGGGCCTATTGTCTTCCCCTGAATAGAACATTATTGTTGTATTTGGGGCATCTTTCAGTCTAGATCCAGCAATAATGACCGTACGTTCTATTCGGATGATGTTCTGTTCGGGTGAGAACGGTAGCATGCACCAAACGATGATGACTTCACAAGGGGTATGTACTCCTTCTCCGCAAAGTTTTATGACGTTGGGTTCATCGCATTGTGTTCAAGTTTTTTTTTGGTTTTTTTTTTGGTTTGTTTTTTCCCCCTTTCAATATTTCCTTTTTCAGAGAGGAAGAAAGTGCAGGGACCATCATGTTTGCGAGGGCAGACTCACACTAGGTACTTTCCTAAATGCATTCGACTGTTTTGACGGCCCGTCCTGGATGAATCTGACTGCAATAACGTCTATAGCTGAGTAGAAAAAGTCCGAGTGTGAGTATGCCCTGGTAGTATCAGAATGAGAGCTTGTGGGTGCAATAGAATGTGCAGAAGGTATGCTATGCAGGACCTTTTTTTTCCTTGTTGGGGGGGGGGTGCATTAAAGGATCACTACCTTTGCCATACATTGATATTGGGTGGGGTCCCAACGAGTTTCAGACGCTGGTAACACAACAAATGCCGCCGCTGAAATTTATAAATGGTGGCCCAATGGCATCCCAGCCCCCAAAAAATGCATTATAGGAATTTATAGCGTTATAGGTTATATTCCTATGTGGGACTACAGCCTGGAAGGTAGTGCGATTTAAGCATGAAAATTATCCATATGTAAATATATGAATCACGGCAATGCTGGCGGTTTCCTGCTGACGATGCTATGAGATGCAAGGTTTCTGTGGTCGAACCTGCAGAAGGACGATTCAAAAGAAAGCAGGGTCAGCACCTTTTTTTTTTTTTTTTTTTTTTTTTTTTTTTTTTTTTTTCAGCCAACCATTTGTATGATTGGCAGTGTCCCCCTTTTCTCAAGAGAAAAAAAGGTAGTCGGATGAAGATGCCCGAGAGGGTGGGAGAGTGGACTACCTTCTTCACTCCAATAGAACGCCTGGTCATTGTAGCTGGATTTGGATTGAAAGTTGCACAAGGTGCACAGCTATAATGACCGGGCGTTCTATTTGTGAAGACGGTAGTGCGTAAAGGGGGGGGAAAGGAACGGGACGTCGGGAAGTCCAAAAACTGGGATGAGCATGACTGTCGTTTCGCTTTTGTTCGTCTTCGTGTGCCCTCTCCTTCTGCGTAGAACCTTTCACAGATGTTCTGTGGCCATCTCGGATTCCCTGTGCGTCTCTGTGTCAACTTGCCCTCATCTTGTGGTTCAGGATGGAGAAGCCATGCCAGACGGGCCTGTTGTTATCTCTCCAGATGGGTTGATTCCGTCACTGTACAGAGAAGGTAAGCCTTGTTTGGCGTCCAGGCAATTTTTGCGCATGCATAACTGATGTCGACTATGGTGCTGCATCTTTTGAACACTGTTTTTCGCTGTGACTATGGCATTTCCGTGTGTTGAAGATTGCGGAAACACAGAAAAGAGTACTGAAAAAACTTGGGTGCTGCGATGGAATGCCAGACCACAAACAAACACCTTCACATGCCTGCCAGGGGTAGTGGTCAGGTACTTAAACCACCTGTGTGTTTCCCAGCCAAAGAATAAGATATGCGGCGTGCATGCAAGCACAACTTTCGGGGCCCGGCCTTCGGACCAAAATGGATGGTGGCACCAGGCAAAAGGACTCCCATGCCGGTTCATCGCGCGCAGGGCATTTCCAGCCTTGGAGAGAAGTGCCTCGGAAGTACCGGTGGTTTAAGATTGTGTGTCAATGATTGTATGCTACCATATTTGCAGAGCAGTATGAGATCTGTGTTAGGGAGTTTGCCATGTATCCATGTGCCTTGCATAAACCAAGAGCACATACACTTTCCTATCTGTTTGCATCAAAGAGAGAGAGAGAGAGAGAGAGAGAGAGAGAGAGAGAGAGAGAGAGAGAGAGAGAGAGTTTTCCGTTCGTGGGAGGTTAAGGCCGCGGCGGCGCAGGAGCTCGGGCTCGCCCCCTCTAGTCACTGTTTAGAGTAACTTGAGAAATGAGGTAAGATATACCCTTTTAAACTCCTCTAGTCACTGTTTAGAGTAACTTTATACCCCCCAAACACCCCTGGGTGACCCACCACGGAAATGGAAGGTAAGGCTGTATTCTGATTTCTCAGGCCGAGCTCAGTCCTGGCCTGAAGTCAGTTTCTTTTTTTTGGAGATCCTTCCCTCTTTTTTGACCTGCCCGGTTTTGCCAGGCGATCCCCCCCCGGCCCAGCTGTCCCGGGCATGCCTGGCCGGGCGATGGCCCAAATTCAAATCAAAGAAAGGTGTAACAAATAAAGAATAAAATTCAATAAATGGGCTATCCCGGATTTGAACCAGAGTCCTCGCTCGTGGAGTAAGTCACCGCGGCAACTTGGTGACTTACTGGCATGGGCTACTGATGCTGGAGATGAAAAGAGTTGAAGATGCCTGGAACCCCACCATGCCAAGGCTCTTCCGGACGAAACTCAGAACTTGTGGACATGGTCCTGCTCTCTTTTTCCTGCTCTGCAGTCAGGGTTGTATTTGAATGGGGGGTGGGTCTTTCAAGTGGACATAGCCACCGGCTTCACTCGAATAGATGCCAATTCAATATAGCTGTGTTTGGGGTAACTTTCAGGCCCGGATGCAGCGATAATGACCGGGTGTGTCATTCTGGTGAAGGTGGTTGTTTCATGAAGTAATCCTAGCGAACTTAGTGCAGTTTCCCATTTAGGAAAGATAGAACTTGCTAACATACTTCTTTCTAGCCAATGTTATCGCAAAAAAAAATTGAATGTGGTTTTGAGGCCTGATTCTCGCTCTGTGTCTGTTTTCTGCTGTCTGGTGTCTACTTCTGCAGTTATCAGACGAACTCCACACGAATTTAAGATTTCATGCCTCCAGGTAAGGAGTTGCAATGTAGACCATACTCATGTGCACTTCTTTTCAACCAAATCCATCAGATTCAGTGGAAGAAGCACTCTAGCTTGAGTAAACACCATCAGCTGAAGAGGTCCTTGTGTGACTTTGCGCTCAGCGCCTGCACGCTCCAAAAAAAAACCAAAAAAAAACTCGCTTTTTTGAGTTTGCCCCTCAGTCAATGACGTCCTAGTTTGAGTGTGCCCTCGTTAATTTTCTCCTCTGGTTTCCCGGACAAAAGGCAACCTTGGTCGCACCATCTAGTGCAGTGGAATGCTTGCCCTGATTTTTGCAGTGGACTGTTGGGAGTGCACTTGCCTACTCCGTTGTTCACAGAAGACATGCAGCGTAGTGGAAGGACCACAAGTCTGTGTCCCCATTTTTCTGAATCCAGAGTAGTCAAATATAGGCTTATGTCGTAATCTTAAAAATAAAATAAAATAAAATAAAACAATAAGTTTGAAGGGACTTGAGCAGCAAGAAGCCAAAAGGCACAGCCTCAATTTAAAGACACTCATAGGTCACAGTCAAGAGTCACGGTCCAAAAGGCAGAGGACATGGACACAGTCAAACAGACGCAGTCGAAGGTCAAGAGACTCAATCAAGGGTCACGAGAGAGTCAAAGTCAGAAAGTAAATTCAGTAGTCAAAAGGTACCCCGAAGAGACAAACAAAGAGGGTTGTGTCCAATTCCAAAGTCAGCCCCAGACCCTGGATCCAGGTTGCAGCAACATTTCAGGAAGAGGGACTGGTATCCAGGCCAGGCAGTCGGGTACCTGCTCAGGTAGCAGAGGCTGAAGGCTGAAGTGAGGCCAAAATGAGCCATGCAGCACTATGTAAGGACTGGCCGAGTCCAGTCCAGCATGGATTCTTTCACGAGTTGGGTGGAAGTGCTACTCGGCTGCTTGTGCCTATCGTGAGGTGGAGAAGGGCGCTGGAGGTCTGCTAGGCGCCTGGAGGAGATGAAGGCCAGCGTAGGGTATCCAGGCAGATCATATTAGGGTAGAGTTCAGTTAGTAGAGAGAGAGTGAGAAAGAAAGAGAGAGGGGGAGAGAGAGAGAGAGAGAGAGAGAGAGAGAGAGAGAGAGAGAGAGAGAGAGAGAGAGAGAGAGAGAGAGAGAGAGAGAGAGTATACGTGTGAAGAGTCTTCCGCTGTGTAAACTAGAGTGATGAGTTGAGTTTGGAGAGATGCTGCTTCGCCTGTGTCAGAGAACAAGTGATGTAACTAAGTTTTCTTCAAGTATGTGTATGACGCTGTTGATATAATTGAGGCACTCTTCATAATTTCGAGTTTCCGGTATGTTATGTGATCTCTCTCATCATTGTATGTATGTATGTATCACGAGTAAAGTTGAGACAGAATCGTTGCAGTAGCGGAGGAGAGCTGCAAAACTACCTGTCATGCTGGGACTCAGGTCTTTCTTTTTTTTTTTTTTTTAAATGTTTTTGAACAAGGGTGACGGCTTTGAGGTATGATTATTGATGTGGAATTCAGAAATTATCTCGTCCTATATCATTGTATTCATGTAGTTCCACTTGGAAATCGAACTCAGGTATGCATTTCAAGTTTCAACAGTCCATGGATGTAGGAATGGTGCTCTTTTTTCTGTGCGTCTGGTCATTGGAATTCTCCTCTCAAGTGATCCTGCTCTGGAGTTGCAAATCTGTATTGCAAAGATTCTTTCCTTGATTTACTCGTGGAACAATGTGAAGCCTTATCCATTATGCGACACCCTTGACTGATTTCTTCTCTGTGCCATTCTCTGATGTTTTGGATATCCAGGAAATTCGAGCCTTGTTCCCTTCCGATAGAAACCCGTTTTATGCGGGGTTTGGAAATAGAGATACAGATGAACTCAGCTACTTGGCTGCCGGTATTCCTGCTGGGAAGATCTTCATCATCAACCCAAAGGTTTGTTCTCTCTCTCTTTATTTGATCGGCAACATAACGTCACGTTGATTGTAGTGAAGGATTTGGAAAAGCAATTACGAAACCCTCGTGAAGCAACGGACCTCGCTGAGCCTTTTTGCTCGTCAAAAGAACGTCATGTTGATTGTCGTGAAGGATTCTGAATGAGATATTTCGCTACGCGAGAGGACAATCTATCTAGGTGACCTACCGTCTTCACCCGAATAGAATGCCTGGTCATTATAGCTGTATCTGGGCCAACTTCCAGTGTAAATACAGCAATAATGACCGGGCGTTCTATTCGGGTGAACACGGTAGTGTCACATGCTTGTCCAAGTTTCTGAAGTTCTGGTTTTCCTTCCTCTTTTTTTTTCCCTTTGTTTTTGTTGTCTGGGCTTGCTTCAAGGTTATCTGCAAGGGCAAAGCATGAAGAGGCATGGCCTGCCAAGCAAGAAATCTGGCATTTGTCTTCGAAACGTTGGGGGTACAGGGGCTCGATGTGAGAGTCACAGTGGGCTTGTACAGGGGCTTAGTGAAAGGGGGTATCATTATCTTGTCGACTTTCTGATGTGAGGGGGAGTGGGCGCATTACTTTTGCTCCTTATGTCGAAAAAGGAGCAAGATTTGGAGGGCATTTTGGTCCTCCATTAGCACCAGCATCAGCGAGCAGATACGAGCATCTGGCACTGGACTGACGAAACCTGCAGGAGGTGTTCCAAACCTCACAAGTCTGTTGAAATGGTTGACCTGAAAACGGTTCGCATGTGATTTATTGGGGCAGATGCGGTGTCTGCGGGTATGAAAGGGCTGTGGCCTGTCCCAAAGAAGAAGAAATAATTGTTTCGTGAAATGTGAGTGATTGGGCTGTGTGATCCTGTACCATATCTAGCACAATCGAAATCGAATAGCGAACAATCGGAACTGAATAGCTTGACTTTGTCTGATGGTGCGTGTTTGTCGTATTGACATTTCAGTCTCGTCTGTTGATCTTCTGTGGCCAGGGTGAAGTTATGGTTAACACTATTGAGGTGAAAACCTATTCGTCTCTTCACAAGTTGGCGAATGATATATTTCCTTCGATTGGCATCTCCGAGCAGGTAAGGAATGCCTATGACTTTTCGTCTGGAGCGCACATCCATCTCCTGGAATGTAACTCACTGTTCTCCTCGAACTCGTACCATCTGCTTCCCAGAAAATCTTTGTCAGCCCTCTTTGCTGCTCTGTCATGAGTGTTGAGGGCATCCCTTGCACACACGATCAACAACCGTCACCTATAATGTCTGGATTACAGCGTTTTTCTTGTGATGCCTAGAGTCTTACCGCTCTTCGCGTAACCCCCGCGCCACCCCTCTTCGTAAAGCTCGGAATTTTGGGTGGTTTTGGGGTTTGGATTTTGAAGTTGAATCCGTGGCCGAGCCAGATGTCCAGCTGCATTTCTCAGGTTTGGATGGTCCAGCTGCACAATCCAGGTAGATCCAAGCGAGACTTGGAGAAAATTATGGAAAATCTGAACAGAGACCTGGAGGAAATTATGGGAAATCCGAACAGCTCGGTCCATGGACAACAGAACAGTTGTTTTCTGGTGCCCCAGTGCTGTCCGGATTGTATAGCTGGACCATGGGGACCACAAGAACTGCAGCTAAACTTCCAGGCGCAGCTACCTAGCCGGTTTTGTTTTCCCTTTTTCATTACAAGAACGATGCAATCTAACTGCTTCAACGAGTCCGATCTCCAGAGAAAGTAGCCTGCCTTCCTAGGCTTATGCTGTCAAAATGGTTGGGATCGACGTCCTTCGGCTCAGTTTTCTAAGTCTTCACACATAGAGTTACACGAATCTATTGGTCCAAACGTATCTGACACGCTACCCTACCATGCCTGATTTTGCTATTCGAGGGCCTGCCGGCGCAGTCCTGATATTGCTACTGAATCACTGGCTTATTGTCAAATTTTATGTTTTTTTCTTTTCTTTTTTGCCTGTTTTTGTTTTGAAAACACAACAAGAAAGTACAGAAAAAAATGCCTAAAGGTTGTTGCGTGCGAAATTTGGTGTCTTTTGGAGCATTGGAAATCCCCCCAGAATAACACTGAAATTATCATATAAACTTCACAGTTTCCTCTTCTCTCCTTCTGTTTTCCAGGTCTTTGAGAGATGCCCTCATTTTAGATCCGTGTTGGTCCTGATTGCAATAAACTCCGTCCGGATCCGCACCGACACGGGCAAGGGTCGTCACTTTTAGTCAAAGGCCAGAAACAGGGGTCAAAAGTCACGTCCCAGGTCTGAGAAATGTCTGAGAAAGTGCCTACGGTATGGCCAAGGGGTACCAGGGTCTGAGTCAAAACCTGGTGGCTTAACCTGAGACAATTGACTCTTGGAAAATCAAGAGTCAACGCCATTGTCTTTGGATTCGTCTGGGTCGTCAACCCAAGGAGACTGGAGTCTGGTCAATGCGAGTCAACCCTATAAAGAGCTGACCAGACCCTGTGGAGATCGTTCTGCCTTGCGCTGGCTTGATGCCAGTGTTGAGACGCGAAGGCTGCCGGGGCTGTATGCTGGCGCCAGATGCTGGGAGCGGGCGCCAGCCTCACGGGAGAGTATGCTGGCGCGGCCATAGCCGCGTAAATGTAGATGTAGATGTAGTCGTGATTATTGGCAAGGAGGAGGAGGATCAGGGCTGTGAGACTGACGTGGGATGTGGGGAAGCTTACCTGGACTTACACTGGCGACGACATGTGTGATCTGCTGATGTCTCCACGAAGGTGAGGAAGTACTGCGCCGTCCTCCATATTGATTGATGACGTGGATGGAGGATGGGCGCCCAGTTCCCATCTGGTGGTTATGTCAGAAGAGGTCAGAGGGAACACACAATGCTGAGGTGGTGTTGGGGGGAGAAGCCCAAAGTAGGAGTGGGAGAGGGGAAGATATACATGAGCTATTGATTATATCGAGACTCTTGTCCTCCTCTTTTCTGTTTCCTCTCTCCTTTTACTCCTCCAATTCTCTCCTTTGACGGGAGTATAGTACTCGGTGTACTCTTGAAATGTGCATTTGATCGAGACTTGGACATATAATTGGCGATTGGAGTTCATGAGTCCCGCTGGGTTCAGATTTCCATTGCATTGTGCTGATTGGCTTTCCGGCATGACTGGGTTCATTACATGATACTGACCAGCAGCCCAAGTCACAGTCTCCAATTTTGTTGTTGCGAATTGTTCTTGAAACCTAGGCTGGGGCGTTGCCCGGCCAGGCATGCCCGGGCCAGGGGGGATCGCCCGGCAAAACCAGGCGGGTGAAAAAAGAGGGAAGGATCTCCAAAAAAGAAACTGACTTCAGGCCAGTACTGCGCTCGGCCTGAGCAGCCAGAATCCGGCCTTACCTTCCATTTCGGTGGTGGGTCACCCAGGAGTGTTGGGGGGGTTATAAAGTTACTCTAAACAGTGACTAGAGCGGTTTAAAAGGTATATGACCGTATATCTTACCTCGTTTCTCCTCATTTATTTTTATCTGAAAGTTAATGAGGAATTTTGAGGGGACCCTCAACCAAAAGTTGCTTGTACTGCAATTTTATACAACATATTTTTTTCCCAGATTTTTTTGAATTTTTATTTTTTTTAACATTATGCGCTGGGGCTGCCCGGGACCCTGCCCGGTCACTGCTCCTCCCGGGCCGCCCGGGAGGGTAGCCCCAGCCAGGCCGCCTAGGGACCAACCTAGCTTGAAATTCGACTGAAATACAGTACACCAGGTTAATACAGATATTCGCCAAGGCTCAGAAAATTTCAGGATGTGGCAAGGAAAGGCGCGCTGGTTATGTTTTCGGCTGCTGACTGTTGTTGCCTGTTTCCGCCGTCTGGCTCGCAGGAAGAATTCAACTCGTGGAACCACTGGAAGCTTCCTCTGCCCGACATCAATGATGAAATTGCAGTCATGGAGAAAAGGTGTGTCAGCAGTTTCAATTTCATGTAATCAATCACGGTGTCATATTCAACCACTGTAATGTTCATTCGAGAGGTGTGTCAGCAGTTTCAAATATCTTGTAATCAATCACTGTCAGGCTGAGTGAGAAGGACACACATCGAAGGGAATGTCGTCTGCTGTTTGTGTTGCTTTGCTTTGTTCTGTTCAGCTGTCATGCACAGATTGGGGCTCGCTGCACTCCTCTCGACATGCACAAAAGACAAAAATCATGGCCGTGCATCTTTCCATATTCTAGCGGAAGATTCACTCTCATTTTGCACATTTCGAGAGTAGTGCAGCGAGGCCCATTACCTGGCACATTACGGATTGAAACACCATCGGTTTCCAGTCAACTGTTCATAATGCGCTATCTTCTTCACTTGAACGCAATGCGCTGTCATGATATCTGAAGCTGGCCTGAAAATATCTAAGTGCTGCTAGAATGAGTGGGTGTTGTAATAGACCAACGAGGACCGTGGGCAAAGTGCCACGGAACTGGCATTTCTCACACGCATGCTATGGCGGAGGACAATATGGTGGAAATCGACTGGGTGTTACATCAGACCGATTTCAATGTATTGGCGTGTACATAAGCGAGTGATGTCCGATGCCTAGGGCATTATGCTCACACGAGGACTTTCTTCGCTGAATGTGGTGGTAATCGCAGTCAGTTACATTCAAGAAAGTACACAGTGTAAGTGTGCCCTAAGGCAAGGTATGAGTTTAATGGTATAATTGTAGACAAATCAGCAGTACGAGCCCCCTCCCTGGAAACTCCCGAGGTATATACGGAGGCAATGGTTTCGATGTACTGGCTGGGGGGGGGGACTGAAATTTGTTCGGGCTCGAGAGATTCAGGCTCGGCAATTTAGACTCCCTCGCACTGGAGCTTTAACTGGATGTGTGTGTGTGAAAGGGGGGGTTAGAGTCCCTTATACTGGAGCTTTAAAAAAAGGGGAGCGAACATAGAAACATGAAAACAGAAAGCAAATCTAGATGGGTTGGGAGTTTGTTTTGTTCTGCAATGTTGAACTAGGCAATGAGATTGGCCCAGTTGTGTATGTATGGCTGGGTAGCTGTGGCGCTTTAGGCCCAGCCTCAGGGCACCCAAAAAGGCAGCAAAATTGCAAGAAAAGTAAATCTGCCTTCAGGACAGATCTGGGCTTATTCTTAGCATTTAGAATGGGCAATTTGTCTCTTCATGTGGTGATGCCTCCCTTAGCAGGGATTCTGATGTAAAGATTCTGAAATTCACACCCGCTTTACTCCACTTCCACACCCATGCAGCATCACACAAGCTCCTCACAAGAAGGCAAGATTCACATGATATCAGCACACTTGAAAATTACTTGCAAACTCGAAGTTATATCCGACAGGGCACTCGAACTTCCAAGCTATGGCCATCACCAAGCAGGTATGTCTATGTCCCTCTCTCTCTCTCCCATCTTCCCGCAGGCCTTGCTAGCCTCTCTGGATGCCTTCGCCTCTCTCCCTAACAGCTGTGGTGCCAAGCGCCATTGACTACTACTACCTACTACTATCTACTACTACCTACTACCACCTACTACTCCTGTCACTCATTGCTCTCATCTGCGGCCAGGTCGCATGCAAAATCCCGAATGGCAACTAACGGCTGACCCCTACTGACTTCTACGGACTTCTCCCTACTGGCACTTGTACGGCCTACAACACAGTACCTACGGGAAGCTTCTTTACGGCCTGCTGTGCGTTACCTGCCTGAAAATTTATGTACGCCCTACTGTGGAGTACCTACCTGGAAGCTTGTGTACGGCCTACTGTGCGGTACCTGCCTGGAAGTTACTGTATGGCCTTCTTCTTCTTCTTCTTTTTTTTTTTTTTTTTTTTTTTTAACTGTACGGCCCTCTGTAGGGTACTTGCTGAAAAGTCTCTGCACGGCCTACCGGAAGGATCTATGGTACAGGGGGAAACTGGGACTTTGTCCTGGGACGGTACTCTGAGACGTGTGAATCTTTTGACTGGGTTATAAATGGGGCTTAAGCCTTAAAGGGATAGGGGCGCCTTAATTTGTTGTTTTTTTATGTCTTAATTTCGTGACTAATGTTGAGGTGACCCTCACAGCCAGAAGTTGTTTGTACTACTTGTATTGTGATTCTCTCGGGGACAACCCAGGCTGTTCAAGGATATGCATGTGGCGCGGATGAGTAACCTAGATTTCACACTGTTTCTTTGTTTTTGCTTTCTTTTTTTTGTTACCCCTTTCTGCTGGAAACCACTCAGGGGAAATTCGTATCACAAGCACCATGAGCTCTCTTGACCATCATGCATGTGGCAAGCAGACGGGCAGCAGAAGCAACGAAGTTGTGTTCGCACCAGCACAAAAACACACATCTTTGGTGATGAGAAGCCAGATTCTCGCCACCCGAGAATCAATACGACTGGTGATGAAAAACCAACTTCTCGCCTCCCGATAATCAATACGACTGTTACGACAACAGCAATACGAACCATTCTCAGCCCTTGGTGATCTCTCTACCAACCAGTATGACCACCGACTCTATCATCGACCCCTTAGCCTATACTACTCCACAGTGCAGCGCCACAGAGTTGTGTGCTGCTCCGACTGATGCCTGGTTGAAGAACATGCGACACTGGAGCTGTTGTTAGTGGGCCCCACGTGAGTTGCCGACTCCTCCACGACCTTCTCCTTCTAGTGCCACCCCTCTTCTACATGCTCAACGCCCAACCTGGCTATGGTGCCATTCTTCTTCCTCAGCGCAGCCATGGCTTATGCTGACCTGATGCCATGTGTCCCTTTCCTGGCTAGTGCCAATCAGCACGGCGCTTGTAAACCCCAAGGCACCGGTCTTCGCTCTCTTTCAGCAGTTATGGCTGGTGCGGGCCTTCTTTCCCAGCGCAGTTATGTCTGGTTCTGGTCTCCCCTTACAGCCAGCTGCAGCGTGTGCTGGTTTGTTGGCTAAAGCCAGTCCTCCCTCCGCACAGCTCACAATCAGACGGCGCAGCAGCCTGTTGGCTGAACTTCGTCACTAAGGCAACTTCGACCTGCCCTATCCTTCCTCAAGTACTGGTTCTGCCCGGCCTGTAGAGAGTCTTCTGGGGAAGGCCGTTGTGGGCTGGGTCCCAGGCAGGCTGACTGGGCCCAACCCTTGACTGAGCCCAGGGCCTATTAGCCCTGCTGCTCTCTGCTGGGAGACGCGTGTGGCCTCCCATTGGGCTTCAATATGAAGAGAATCAGGAATCCGGTGTCTTCAAGTATGTCTCATGCACACCGGCAATCCGATCAGCTGGGAGACACGTGGCCTCCCATTGGGCTTCAATATGAAGAGAATCAGGAACCCAGTGTCCTCAATTATGTCCCATGAACACCAGCAATCCAATCTTTCTCAATACGCTGATGACATGCATAACAAATGGTCAAGCCGTGAATTTTTCAAAATAATAAAAAACCCAAAGATCATCTGTGAGTGTATATTATATGAGCATCTTGTGCAAGTGGTGTGAGGGACCTGCTGAACACAAGGGGCCCTCGTGAAACAGGAAAGGTAACTTGTTTACGCTTATGATGAGTGTGTGTTGTAGACAGTAGGAATACCTGTGTTGATTCATGCTTTGTGTGGTTACGCCGAGGAGGGTTGCCAACCAAGCAGGAGCTTGCTGACTTGGGTTATCTAACCCAAGCGTCGGAGTTTATCGTTGTATTGTGCTGTACTGACAAAATGTTATGTTGTGTGTGCGGGCCTCCAGTGACTCGAAGAAGAGGTGATTACGGTGATCCGCGGAGAATCTTCACTGCGGAGGTGTTAATTTCTGAGTGAAGATGGCAGAGTGGAGCGCATGGTGGTATGAGGAGTACATGTTCATATGGATGGTGCAACTTAACCCCCAAGTGCTGATGAATTGTGCACAACGGAATGATGGTCCAATTGAAAGTGCAGCTTGATGTGGTACTCCTTTTCGCCAGGTGGAATATCTCATGTCGGGACCGGAGGTTTGAATGGCATGATTATCAAAAGGGATGCGGAGAGATCCCTTGTGCTGAACGCGTATAAATAGGGGGTAGTTGGTGGTTGGATCAGCTGAGGAGGGAGTTAGTAGGTGATGATCATGAAGCTTTTGTTTGATTGGATGGTGTTGCTCCACGGAGATCAAGAAGAAAAGTGGAGCCATAGCTGCTATACTACCTTCGTTTCGACAATGGTAATCATTTGTCCACTTTGGAAGTGTATGGTTTACGATGGTGATGCAGAGGTAGTGAGTGATCTTTGAAGGTAGGGGTGGATTTGTCACGACTGCGAGAGAGGTGTAGGGGTGGATTTGTCACGACTGCGAGAGAGGTGTGGGGGCTCTACTCACCAACGCAGTTAAACTTATTTGTGGCCACGGGCCCGTAGTACCACGGGCCCGTCGTATTTTTGTATGGCGGAACTGTGGCCTGTAAGAGGAGCATTTCTGGCAGAATTCTTCTTTGTGTCCTTGTGTAGAACACGCTGGACGAATAATTGGATCAGAAGGCTGATCACGAGAAAGATGGTGTGAAATAAGTTCGCAGAGAGTCCCTGCCGCGACAATCGTGAAGTGGAGGCATAGGATAAGGATGAAGATCGCATTGCTGGTATTTTGCCCAAGTGGAGGAATGCGACGAGGAAGGAGAAAGGTTGAGGATGAAGATGTCACTGCTGGTTTTTCTACCTTCTCCAGACCTGATAGTGAGGATTTTGAGAGAAATGTAAATTGGTATGCCTCTCGATATGCCTCCACAGGGGGACGACATACATGTATGGCGTTTGATCGATCGATCCTTTCACAGAGTCGTGTTCGTGGCATTTTCTGGCCAAGGGTGAAGCGTGGACAGCTGTTGCTTACGATCGTTCCTTCTTCTGAAAGATGGCGAAAGTGGGCAACAGAATGCTTCGCTCTCTGCATCTGCTGCAGGTGGGCGGGCAACTGTGAGGAACAAAATGTTTGTTATTGTGTTTGATTGAATGAGATCTGATTAGAGTCCTACCAGATCTGACTAGATTCCCATTCATAGGTGGTTGGCAAAGAAGGGGCTTGCCCTAACAGCCGTTGCGCTGACCTTTCATCCATGAAAGAGATGGAGGAGCGGGTGCCAGGGTTTCACTCTCTTTTCTGTCGACATTGCTGCGTAGTTGCATTGGTTCTTTCTGTGTTGTAGCATTACAGAATATATTGTCGGGGAACTAAAGCTCCCATGGTTGGGGGAATACCTCCCCCAATATCAAATGGGGGCTGTCGATCGTAAATTAAAATGTTGAAAGGTATTGTCAGATATTTGTCCAGATGGGTCGCTCATTATGTCAGGCACTGTCTGGTATCGAAAATGGGGTTTGGTTGTCTCGATCTCGTGTCTGGAATCTAAGGTGGGGACAGCACGAGAAGCGAGCGCCAGGTTCTGAATGTAATGTCAAATTGTTCATCCATTGCTGATTTTGCTGCGTTTCTGCAGCGGCAAATCATTGCGTGTACACAAGTCGATTGGTTCACTGTTTTCACGGCTGTGGTGCCATGTCTGCTGTCTCCCGTTGCATCCTTGATTTCCAATTCTTTCCCCCACCCCCCCTCTTTAATCATTGAATGATTTGGTTCATATTTGATTGGATTGGAGTTACATAGGACTTGTGCAAGGTAGATTGTCTGCATCAAGAAACCAGCTTAAGCTGAATTTCTGCGAGGCAGGCTCAAGGGGGTGACCCTGCAGCGGTTATCGTTGTCACTGAAATTTCAGTGGTTTCGGTCCGCACCGTCCAGCTAGCCAGAGCGAGTAGAGAGCGAATGGCGGAGGTTTTATCACAGGAGGACGCGGTAAATTTGCAGAGGCACGAAGCATATAGCGTTTCTCTCAGATCCAACATTGCTGGAAAGGTTAGACTGAGTTTGGTCAGCAGTTGGGACTCTGGACAGGTCTTGGAAGTAGTGTCAGCGACAAAGACTCTCAGATGTTGCAATTTCTGCCAGAACTGCAGATTAAGATGGCACAGGACGTGGGCGGCAGGGCGTCTCACGAATATGTAAATGTTGCGATTTCAAACTGAGTAGAGCAGCGACATGTGGTGGGTATTTAGTCCAATTGAAGGTTAAGTTTCACCTTGCCTCTTTTCGGACTTCCTTTTTCCAAAACAACTGGTTGAGCTGGTCTTGATATTTGTCGAGTCTATAGTTTCATCGCGATCGTCAGGTCAGTTGTTGGTGGTGGTTTTGCTGTGGGTCGAGGGATATCAAAATGGAGCTGAGAGATGGTATCCATTGTGATTCTTTATAGTCGTCTAAGATTTTTTTCTGCCGAAAATCTCCCTCGAGTAACAGCATCTAAACTTGCAAGAAAACGGTAGTTTCTGTCTCCCTCTCTCCTTGTGTCCCGACCTCCCTTGGATTGGCTGCGTACATCTGCTGGACGTGCAAAGATTGCAGGTACTGGCCCAGCCTCTCTTTCCCCCTTCTTTTTCTTCTTTTTAAACCCCCCTTTCCTCTCTCTCTCTCTCTCTCTCTCTCTCTCTCTCTCTCTCTCTCTCTCTCTCTCTCTC